AGAATCTACAGTCTTGAATGACTTAATAAATTGATGAAACCTATGCTTGAAACAAGTATGGCTCTGTTGAAGATGACCTTTGAACGACAATTTATCGGAAGTTCGATAATGAAGGTAAAAAATATATTTTTGTATACAGTTTTCTGTGATATGTGAAGTTCGAGTAGTCCGGGTTCAAATATCGATTATTGAAACAATGTTGATTATTGTAAGCTTATGTAGACTACTTTTTGCCGAGAAGCTTTCAGTTTACTTTTAATCAATTGACCTTTATAGATTATAATTTTAAACTTCATCCAACGGAACAAAATCTACCGAAGTCAATATAGTACGAACTAAATTCTCATAAACATACTCTTTATAATATTTGTTCACATGTCAACAAAACTGTTGTAGATCACATTCCTTAGAGCAGAGCATCTACCTTTGAAATAGCAGTACTAGATAATCATTTTCAGCTTCTATATTGCTATTGGAGCTCCGCTATTAGCTGTTACCTAACTTTTATATTAGATTACATGTAACAGCAACTTATACAATCTTGTACCCTGAGTCTTCGTTTTCTTGGCCTGCGCCAACTGATTGGTTCTTGAAATAGAAACAAATGCTAACGGAAGTGGAATAATTTACACCAAGGACTAAACATTTCGAGTTTTTTTATCTCGATCACAGAATACCGGTCATCGCGTATTGAGCGTGCACCGATTTCCCGATCATTTACGGACGAGAAAAAAACCATCACAAAGCAAAAAAGACCACATATTTGCACTCAGAAAGCATTAAAGGACTTAAAGTATATTTCTAAACTACAAAACGAGAATATAAACCCCCAAAATAACCCAAATATCGATGTTGAAAGTGACTTAATTTTGAAGAGATTTCAACGGTTTTCGTCCGATAACTGCCATACTAGGAGCCCTGGAGCCGTCCTCTCTTCTCAATAGTCTTTTATGCCTGTGGAATGATTTCTGTTCGTATGTCGGCTATGTGAGCAATCCCAGAAAGCTTGGTGCTGGGAATGCTGTTAAGCATACAAATAGTCACTGGGTGATTGATTTGCGACCAGGCCTGCATATGAATTCACCAAGATTGTAAGCCAGTGAGCCCGTGCATTTTTGTTAAGCGGTCATATTCGAAAATGTAAATAAAGGAAAGGGAAAACCCGCAGCTCTCCATCCACTCAGATAAACAGTACAAGTCGTGTTATATCTATTTACATAACTAAACAAAATGATTATAGAATTAAACCTTTAAGAATTGAATGCTCATATCAAACATTTTCCACCTTAAATACACACGTGTTTTTCAGAAGGGAATTTAGTCGAACTTTTTTCACGATRGARTYTTRTTTTGAGTCGTTTYAACATAAACAGTCGCTATCAAGACATTACGTGAAAAACCTCAGTCACCGTACTAGCTCTCGTTGTAAGGTCAAAGCTAGTAAATGTGTAACCGTATGAATATGAAGACCGCATGGTACTATGATAAACACGATATAGAAATGAAAGAAAGTTATAGTGCTTAGAAGGAGGCAATTCCGGGAGAAGTCCCTTAGAAATAAATTCGGAAAAATTAATTTCCCAGCGAGGTCGGAAATTAANTTCTATAACGATAAATATTTGATTGACATTTAATAAAAGCTTTTTTTATAAAGATTTTCAATTTCTCTTTGCGTTTTAGCTTTGACTTTTCGGATAGAATAAAATGGCAGGCAGCCTACTCCACTGGGTCGAGTTTTGCTGTGCAAATTCCTCCCGTCGGGGGGTTATGCTTACAACATAAGCTTGTCAGCTTTGCGCTGATTGGCTAGTCGCATTTTCTCAAATCACCCAGTACTTTCGAGTATCTTTATAGGTAACAACTTTTACAATCTTGTACCCTGAGCCTTCGTTTTCTTAGCCTGTGCCAATTGATTGGTTCTTGAAGTAAAATCAAATGTCGCCGGAAGTGGATTTACACCTGCAGGACAACATTCGAATTCATGTTTTATCTCGATTTCTAAAACTCATAAATTATTCATTAGACATTCTTCCAATGAGCATTCAACTATGGGTCACATGTCAGGATCTGTAACTCAAGTTATAAACACTGATTAATTAAACATGAGTTTTATAACTAACCGGTTCAGTTAGTTATAACACCCATGCATAAAACATCAGTGTTGTAACTGATTTACAGACACTCGATGTATGCCCAACACTAGAAAAGTTCTCAGTTTAGACTCTCATCATAGAACTTATTTGCAGAGTCACAGTACACTAAAACATAGTGGCGCTTGGATGTGGGAAACCAAGTTGATTACTGCTCATGCTCAGATGGAGATATCTTCATCAATTATTCATTTTTGATATTTTTTTATTTATTTCATGTTTATTGTAGTTTCTTAGGTTTGGGTTTTAGAAGTCATTTAAAAAACTCGTAGTTCGTGCTACTCCTATTCGTTTTTTAAATATCACTTTATATGATATGAATTCTCTTCATGTTCCAACTGATTAATGAAAGCCATGTTTAATTGAAAAATACTTCAAAAATATCATGATTTGTCTTAACAAATGTGTTTTCTACAATTTTCTACATAAATGATTTGGAAGAGAACGATCGATTTTTTGTGATTGATATTTCATGCCTTCATAAACTTTCATATTGTTCCATGTTGATGTCATGGGTTAATGAATCAGGAAAGCGGCAGTATTAACACTGCAAGCTCATACTTCACTTTCTGGTTTGGAGCGAAACTCGAAAGAGTTTGTGGTTTTTCAGTTTGAGATTTCACATTAACTCACTCTATGAAATTTCAGCTCACCTACGAAATCCTTATCAGTTTTAATTGGACTGCGACGCTGATTCCGACTGAACGGTAAGGTAAGAAATAACATCGATTTTTCGTTTTCACAAAAGACCTTGTCTCGAGTAGTAATTATTTATAATCGTACTATATATCGTGAATATGGGTGATATTTGCATGGTAAACAATGTAGGATGATGATGCTACTGCAAGAGTCTGAGAAAGGAAGGAAAATCAAATCATATCGAGAATCTAACATGAAGATTAAAAATTTATACAATCTTTTACCCTGAGCCTTCGTTTTCTTAGCCTGCTCCAATTGATTGGTTCTTGAAATAGAAAAATATGGACGTGGAATTGCACCATGCAGGACAACATTCAAATTCATGTTTTATTTTGATTTATTATATGAAATCTCGTCATTTTCCAACTCATTAATGAAAACCATGTTTAATTGAAAAACTTCAAAGATATCATGCTTTGTCTTAACAAATGTGTTTTCTAAAATTTCTACAAATTTTGTACATTGTACACAGGAAAGATAAACGATTTGGAAGAGAACGACCAATTTTTTTTATGATTGATATTTCATGCCTTCATAAACTTTCATATTGTTCCAAGTTGACGTCATGGGTTAATGAATCAGCCAATGGGAAAGCGGCAGTACTTACACTGCAAGCTCATACTTCACTTTCTGGTTTGGAGCGAAATTCGAAACACTGTGGTTTTTCAGTTTGAGATTTCACAATAACTCGATCTATAAACTTCAGCTCAACTACGAATTTATTATTTTAAGATATCAATTTAATGCGTGAATTGGACCGCGACGCTGATTCTGACTGAACGGTAAGGTAAGAAATAATAATAATAATAATAATAATAATAATAATAATAATAATAATAATAATAATAATAATAATAATAATAATAATAAT